AGTTCCCTTACCGGGTCTGTATACTTTGTGACTTTGTTCCCGGTTACCGGGTCTGTATACACTTCGTTTTTACTATGGTACTGTATGACAATTTACCCACGTCTGAGTAGGCCAAGTGCCCTAATACTAATGGTAGGCCCTTTCCCTATACCGGTAATTCTGACGTTGAAAGTCTTGTAGCAGTAGTAGTAACTTAATAGTAGTGGATCTAAGTAACAGTAGTAGTAGTCTAGTAGTAGTAACTTAGAGTAGTAGTAGTAGTAGTAGTAGTAGTAGTAGTAGTAGTAGTAGTAGTAGTAGTAGTAGTAGTAGTAGTAGTAGTAAGTAGTACAGTAGTAGCAGAGTCTTTACCAGTAGTGGCAGTGTAGACTAGCACAGGCACTGTGTTTGTGTTAGAACCAAGGCGAACCAAACCCCGACCAAGCTTACAAATTCAATACAAACAACTTACTATAGATCTAGTCTAGATCTAGTCTAGATCTAGTCTAGATCTAGATTTCTACTATACTAAATTTTATTCTAAACGTCCTATTCTAAGACCTTTAACTTTAACTTTAGACAGTTCTAAGTTCTAACGACAGCAAAAAAAGCCCTTCAGACTCACCGTCTTTTTATAAACCATTTAAAAATACGGATCCAACGTTCAGATAGGCCCAGCCCCACCATTCATTTGGTCAGACCACACAACATCGTCAAAAACCAATTCCGACCACGATTATAAAACAACGTCTATTGGTCAGTTTCAGCAGCGATCAGCTGATTTGTGATAATAGCCAGAACAGCATCTTTTCCAGACAATAATAGACAACATTACGTAAGCAGTTTTTAGAATACAAGTGGACACAAAAACGACTAGTGGGCCTAAATATCATCAGTTTGTTATCACCAACAAATCACAGTCTCACCATAAATCCTTTTACTGTATTCCGAAGGCAGTTTATAATCATTCCTGCCCACTTATAAACTCACTATTGCAACAGTAGCGGCAACTTGGTTCCGAAACAGGCTCTCAGTACTACGCCCCAGATTCACTCACATTTACAACAGACCGGCGTATAAAAGCGGCCAAAATAATTCGAGCAGTCAAATTTACCCGCCATGTAAACAATGACGTACCGTGCACATGCCGATTATTGTATTTGACTTGCAGCCTAAAACGTGTCACAGTAAACATATCAAAGCTTAAATAAATTGCACGTCACTACACAAATGCTTGTCATATACTTTAACTATTTCAAACATGTATTTTTTCTGTCTTTAGGTAACAGACAGTTCAATTGTTATCTTTGTTGTTTTTTTAACCCATGTTCTGAGTAGCACATAACCTGCCTTTAAGGGCTGATGGGGCACCTAGAAATCGTGTTTGGGGGGTCAAATTTTGTAAATTGGGTTTATTACATATTATAGAACCTGGACACTTCCTGAACAATATCCAGAAACGTATGTAAACCTTGCTACACCCTAAAGCTGTGGTTTTTTGTCGGGTTTTTCGGTTATAAAAATTGTTATAATTAAATTCTGTTCAAAGGTCCTTGTCTCAGTCCTAACTTGCCCCATGTTGTTTCCGTGTGCTTGACACACCGACATTAATTTAGCTGGCTTTTAGTATTGACAATATTTGTGGTTCTTTGTTTTGTTTTGTTTTCGAAAGATGTGAACAATATAGGCCTAGTGGACCAGTTTACGAAAGAGAGTGTACACCTGTCGAACTAGGCCTCAACCCGTTGAAAACTTGGAGAGTGACTGCATGACGTGCTAGATCTATAGTTGTTACTTTTCCATAGCCTACTTGCTCTTTTTCCTTTCCACTGTCACCTTGCAGTGTCGAGGAGAAGAAACAAACGTCTATCTCTTGTTTGTTATGTAACATTGCTAAGTTATTTTCTACTTTATATATA